AATGTGTGCTTTTTCCTGGACAATAAAAACATATATAAAGTGGAAAAAATATAAAATACCTTTAGGCAGTTTTCCACCCAGAACGGTAAACTTTTGGGGGTTCTTGAGAAACTCGACAACATCTTGCAATTCATTCTTTGCCTCCTCCACTCCTTTGACATGCTCAAATGTCACATTCTTCATCTGGATGGGGTCGACTGCTGAGTCAAGACCAGATGTGGTGCGGAACCTCACTGTGAAATCCCCAAACAACGGGTTCAGTACAATAACACCAGAAAAACTTTCCATTTCTTTACAGTGTCTCACAATGACAGACAACACAGCTACAATATTCTTACTGTGGTAAAATGTTAATACTAAGAAACAACAAATTTATGCTATTATACATTCTAATACATCCAGCTAACTGGTATGAAAACATACATATTTGATATAGATACTTAGGTATTACTTACTACACATAAATATGCATCACAGTAATCAGTCAAACCCTACATGCACACCGCAGGACAGACATCATATCTTATCCACAACACTTTAAGGTATTAACTTAAGTTACACATTAACAACATATCAAATATTTCAGCTGAAAGTGGCCTCAAGTAAAACACTTTTACATCCTTGGAGACACTAACAAGCTTTGTTCTATTTGCAGTGTGTATGTAGGGTTGTGAGTTGATTTGCAAGCATAGGAGAGAATAAAAACTGACACAAACCAGCATCAGAAAAGGAGCCTTTACCCGAGAGAAACGGGGTTCTTGACAAGCCATAAATACCGAGAAGGAGAAGGACGAACAGGATCAACCTGGTTCTCCTCAGCGAGTCTGTCAAAACAGAGCACAGGCAAAGACGAGTTATCCTTTATGTCAATCATAAATCTCTCTGTGTGTTTTTTCTCCAACGCTGCCTCCTGCCACATGCCTTGTGTTCTCTGAGTGAAGGCCTGAGACCTCATGAACCCCTCGGTGAAACCCGTCTTGAAAGCTTCCTGCTGGTTATCTGGAAGGTTCTTTTGTTTCATCAGCTGCTCCAGTGATTGTGCTTCTGGTCCCTTTTCCCTGTGAAGCAATCCCTGTGTGGGAAGCAGAGGGAGAAATAGTTGGTAAAGCTTTAAAATACAGCCTTTTTCACTTCCTTTGTCCAACCCCCACTGACTTTGTTAATACAGAGCAACTTCCAGTAGGTCCCACTACTGTTTGCTGACCTTCATGAAGGCTGGTGTGTAGGCCTCAGACTCCACTGGACCATCATACGCAGACTCCATTCGCTTGGTCTTTGTTCGCAGTGTCTTGAAACCTCGACTCTGGACCCATACTAATTAGAAACACATATGGAAAGCCCAAAAGAAACCCCATTAAATACAACTTTAAAATACCAAGCCATTCATTCACATACTGTAGATAAGTTTGGATATTTTCACAGTTTTGTGTCTAGGTGACTGATGGGAACAATATTTTCTTTAACTGGACCAACCATGAAACAGGCTGCAATGTCACCTATTCGGCATGTTCACACCATCAATTTACGTCCACTTAGAGTGCTTGTTTTGTCATAGACATGCTTGATTATTATTCTATGTGTCTAAAGAAAGGGATCCCTACAGAGATAATAAATAAACCAGACTCGATTTAAATAAACAGTAATTGTATTGATGAAAAACATCTTGGTTCTTCTTTCCACTGTTCCGACAATAAACAGCTCTGGTTCGGTTGGAATAAAACCACCCAGTTACTTCTGCCAATATGCTGGCTGTACACACACTAAAATTACAGTTTATTTAAATGGAGTCTGGTGCTTTGGCAATGGCAATTTCGGGGCTGTTTCTTGTTTAACAAAAGGATCTTCCTCTTTAATAAAAAGGTCTGTCTCTGAAGGGATCCTTTCCATAATGTTGACAGACACTTAAAAACAATCTGAGTCAGTGGCAAAAAAAACAAAACACTTTTAGTGGGCGTAATCGGTGAGCTCATGCCCTAATTGTTGCTGTCTTGCTCATTACTGGACCAATTTCAGAAATTGTTGTTCCCACCAGCCACTTAGACACAAAAACATGAGAAGGTTGAAGGTTGAAAAGTATTGAATTCACTCTTTCAGTGTACAAAGTTTCTTACCAGGCAGGAATTGTAGCTCTGCACAGGCTTCTTTTAGAGGACTGTGGTATTGTCTGTGGAATATTGGGGAGCCAAACACGCCCACTCGTTTGTGTGAAAACCCTGTCAGACAAAAAGTGCAAAATGGTTTGTTTCACTTAACGTGATATAATACATTGATAAATGTATACATTTAGTTTTCTTTAGTAACACAATCATCTCAGATACAACGGCTTTTCATAAAGTGAGATTTTCAAAGAAAACAATGAGCCTGAGCTGCTCACCATGCTTGTTAAGAAAGAAGCTGTCTGTAGAAACGTGACTTGACCTCCATGTTGAAGGGACAGTGGGAGGTTGTTCTGGTCCTGGTATAGGCAGTAACCTGCTGACCAGCTCGTCCAGCTGACTCACCCTGATGTCTGACAGGCCAAGATCCCTCAGACTCACACTAGGCTGGGAAGAAAGAAGAGTAAAAGAAGGTTATCTACACCTTTTAAAGACAATCAATGCATGCACATGGCTTTTAGAGTCTTAAAAAAAATAAAAAAACGACAACTCGTTCACTTTTTTAAAGACTTATGGAAATTTACATCCTGATAGCACAAGTTAGACCTGCTTCAGCACAATGGGATGTGCAATACAATTTGCTTGCAAATGAATGAGCAAGACAAAGTTTGAGGTACTGGTTGGCTTGAAAATACATTTCTTAACTTGGGTTAAATTGGAAAAGCTTTTAAAGCATACATGCATGCTTTTATGATTATTACTGTGTGATTAAGGAAAATGCTACTGTTGAAGATCCTTCACTTTTTGTTTGCAGGAAAACCTAATTAAATGAATGATGAAAGGCATATTTAAAAAAGCTTTTGTAGCGATCACTCATCATGGATTTGTTTTGCTTGATGTGTTTGCTCAAAGTGTAATCCTTAAAAGAGGGTTCTCACTTACAAAGAGTAACTTCAGAACAAAATCCAATAATCTTATTGCTACTGACACTTTATATTGTTTACTGTTGGTTGTTCAACATAACCATTGTTCAGTATTACCAACAAAATAAACAAAACAGTGCATGTTAAGACATACAAGTTCAAACCAAAGACATTGATGATTACGTACTGTATCCACATGGAATTATGTCATGTATGTGAGGTGTCATCTCACCTCTTTTAAATAAGAACTGTGCTCTGGAATGAAGTCTTTGTGCAGGGTGTGGACTGAAGCTGTGGCTGAGTTCTTCAGAGAGTGGAGGGCATTGATGAGCTGGCTGAGGGGCACTATCATCTGGCAGAGAAACAAACAGGAGAGGGTGAAGAACAGTCTTTCCACACATTATCAGATGTGTAATCTGTTATTTATCATCACTTTTACTGGGTTTTATGTGAATCCTCCAGACAGGACAGTGGGACAGGACGGTTGTATCACTGTTATTCAGGCTAACTCTATGCTGCTTGCCAATCAGAGAACAGTATGGCCATACGTCAGACGTGTGCCAGTTACATAACCTAAACTCTTTAAAAACTAAGTTACAACCCTTCAATTTTCTAAAAGCCCAGCTCTTTACAGATATATCTAATGGTCTGAGTCATGACCGAAACCGCACGTACAAAGCGTGTCGGGGCTCACGGCTTTAAAGTGGCTTACTATGACAACGTGACGTAAGCATGGGCTGATTATGAAGACATATAACGTTAGCTGTTCATGCTAACATTAGTCGTGTTAGGTTGTCATTGACCACGAAGACAAGACATAAACAACAAAAGACAGAGTTTCTTGTTGCTATAACTTCCATAACAGTCCAGCCTGGGCAACAATGATTTTGTAACTAAAAGACATACGTTGTCAGAAGAACACACATTAGCTAACGTTAGCTAAATACAAAAACGGCTATACTGTCGGCTTACCTGCTGTGGTTGAAACGACGTTGACAGTGAAAACATTTTTGCCGAATTATAATAAAGAATAAAGAGTTGGAGGGTTGGTGTGTGAGGAGAGACCCTCTATTTAACTCAAATGAACGAGTCCTCCCGCGAGCGGTGTCCTTTTTGTTTTCCTTGTTACACAACTTTCAGCAGCTTAGCTAACAGCAAATGGATCCTCCGGCATCTGAGGTCAAATGGACTACAAAGTGACGTCAAGCCAATACTCCCGGTTGGAGGTTGCGTCACTACATCGCTTGAGGACCTCAAACGGCAAATTTATGTAAATCAAAATATTAAAATACTTAAACGGTAACGTTACAAAGCAAAAATACAACCTTTTTCCCTTTATGTGCCCTACACAAATAAATAAACACTGCCGTCAAAAAAGTTTTGTTTTTTTTGTTTTTTCTTTTTAGGTTTTTTTTTTTGTAATACAAGAAAAATATACAAATTGAGTTAGGGAATAGATGCATAAAGACAAAAGATATAAAATAGCAGCAATGGTGGAAATGATGCTACAACAAAATAATAAAAAAGAACAATAAAGGCATTAAACGAGCAAGGGCATAGATATAAGTGTATGTGTGTTTTTTAGCTTTACTGTTCAAGTTTTTCTTTACTGCCTGATCAAAATTAAAATATCAAAATGATAGACAGATAAATAGAGTAATGTATTGATGTTGTCGGGGGCTTTCACTGTTACAGCAGCTTGGAGTAAAAACGACAACGATATGGAGCAAAACAAACAAAAAAAATACAAAACCCCGTTAAAATAAATATATAATAGCTTTATATTAAAAATATACCGTATCGTTCTCTTGTTTTGACAGATGTTAATACACTCAAAAGCTTTTAAATATTTATTTATTTGATGACTTACACTTAATTTCATCACCCATCAAGCGCATGACTGATTTACACCCAGGCAGTTACTTGAACAACTAAATGAAACGAGAGGTTAGAGGACCCCGCGAGAGTGCAGTCAATTCAAAATTTCAAAACAAACCCGAAGTTGTTATTTCAACATGCAAGTGTTTACTTTGACCTAGTTAGCAGTTCCTCATTTGAAAACTTGTACAAAATGGACGCAGAAGAAAAACCAGACTCCGGTGCAGGTGATAAATCGGTGGATATTCATAAACCGCCTTCCATCGAGGATTTCATCGTTTTGAAGCCCATCAGCCGCGGTGCTTTCGGCAAGGTCTACCTTGCAAGGAAGAAGTGCAATGCGCGATTATATGCCATTAAGGTGAGTCGGTTTTTATCTTTGAAAACCTCGACTAATTCATTAAGAGTCATTTGAGCTAAACAATACGTATTTTGTTCTTTAGGTGATGAAGAAAGCAGACATGGTTGATAAGAATATGACAGGCCAGATGAAGGCAGAGAGAGATGCACTTGCTTTAAGCAAAAGCCCCTTCGTGGTTCACCTGTTTTACTCCCTTCAGACAGCCACCAAGATCTATCTGGTAACACCCAGAGGCAAAATAAAGACACATTAACAGTAATAATTGTGAGTTATATTGTGTTTGGCTGTCCTTACATGTTCATTTTCATGTTGCTTTCAGGTAATGGAATACCTCATTGGTGGAGATGTCAAATCTCTGCTTCATATCTATGGGTATTTCGACCAGGATATGTCTGTGAAATACATTTCAGAGGTTGCACTGGCTCTGGACTACCTCCATCGACATAGTATAATCCACAGGTACAGTCTCCTTAGGTGTTGTAAGGCAATGTTGTAACTGTGATTCAGTATGTGATTTTTTCAAGTCCCCTATCTTCTGTATTATTTACTATACACAAGCAATAAATCATTCTAGTATGATCAACATTGGATACAACACACAAAACTGGTCTTTCAGGTATAGGTGTTAATGGGTGTTCCCATTACAACAATACTTTAGTCATGATACAATATTATAGCAATTTTTAACATTTTGCAATATGCTATAACATGCGATAACATATATTTTAATTTATTACCTTTTTTCAACTGTAAATTCTGTCTGCAAATGAGAACTTTGTAAACATCTGTTGTATCTAATAAGAAAGTGTTAAAGATAAAGTCTCTTGCCTCAGTCATTTTTATTGAAACAAAATGTATCTAGTGTACTGAAAAAGCAATTGATTGCATTATCCTAGTAAGCTACCAAAAAATTAAATTTATATTCACAATATTAATAATTATGTTAAAAAAAGATACTTCGCATCTGTGTATCAGTCCAATATTGCCACACAACATATTGTGACACTATGCTGTACTGATATGATGAAACTAGATGAAGTGATATGAATAACATATCTTTTATAGCTATTGATTGTAAAAACCTTCAATTGCAGTAGAATTTTATCACTTGTTACTTTAAGTCTTGTGAACATGTGATATAACCCTTAAACTTCACATAAATAAAATCTGAAATAAACTGAGATAAACAAAGCATACAGAACAACAGGCCTGGTGTAGACATATTATATGATAAATAAATATGAATCTTTCTTTTATCCAGACAGTTACAGTAACGAATAACACAAACTAAAGTGCACACTGACTATGGCTCGACCAATCGCCTTTTGCAGTTTTAAAATTGCATTCTATAGTATTGCAGTATTGGCTTGAATGCAATTAATCTATCAGCCCTAGTGTATAGCACTGATTGATTGGTTAATGGGTGAGATTTATTGTGTGACCTGGACATTGACCTGAATTCTAACTTTTTAGGGACCTGAAGCCAGACAACATGCTGATATCCAACGAAGGTCACATCAAGCTGACAGACTTTGGCCTTTCTAAAGTCAAGCTCGACAGAGGTATGATGTCCCATCATCTTGACACTTGAACAAACTGTTAGCATCACCACTTGTAATGTGTTAATATTTCTTTTATTGTATATCTGTGCTCTCTATCAGAGCTGAGTCTTATGGATATCCTCACTACTCCATCCTTGGCTAAACCAAATAAAGATTACTTCCGCACCCCGGGCCAAGTCCTCTCCTTAATCAGCTCCCTGGGATTTGTAAGTGAAGTAGCATTAAGAGATGCCCTAATTGAGTGCTTTATGCATAGTTTGTGTTGATTCATGACTTGTTCTTCATTCGGTCAAACACAGAGTTCACCCGCAGGAGAAGGCAGGCGTCACTGCAGCGCATCTGCTGTGTCGAGTCCCATGTCCTGTGGCAAAATCAAGCAGAAAACAGGTTCTCTTGGTTCTCCCTTGATGACGAGAAAAGATCAGCTGTACTCACCGGCTTGCTACTCTTGGAAAACAGGTATACTGTGCTGGAAAAGATTTGTTTTAATTCATTAACATTGTGGAATGACTGGTGGCTGGTTCGTAGTATAACTTTCTGGTGAGATATTGGAAATTAAGATGTGTTTGGTTTATCTGTATTGTCTCCACAGGAAGCAGCAACATGATGTTCAGTCCTCATAACCTGGCTAAAAATCTGACGCCCACACTGCTGAAGACCAGGAGGAGGTTTGAGACGATGAGTGCAGGCAGCATCACAGACACTGAGGGTGACATCAGTCCACTGTGGGAATGTGAGGAGGTTGGTGACTGTAAACCTAAAACTATAAGCAATTTACAGTCAATCACACAAGGTTATGTTTTGATTCGAGAAGTCTTGACCAGCTGTGTTGCCCCCAAATCTTGATTTAAGTCATTTAACATTGTTAACTAGTTTATATCTCAGAAACCTGTGGGACTGCCAGCAATCTCACCCAATATTATTGTCCTCCAGTGCTGAACCATGTCAGACTAGCTTGTAGGGAAAGGGGCTAAACAACACTCCAAAGTTGGGCTAAATTTTGTCAAGGGAAAAACTGGCATGGTGATTTTCACCGGGGTCCCTTTACCTCTCACCTCAAGATATCTGAATGGAAAACAGGTTCTATGGCTACCCACAAGTCTCCCCTTCATAGGCATGTCCAGTTTATGTTAATCTCAGACAGTTTAGGTAAAAAAAACATGCTGTTTTTTGCATGCAGTACAAACGTGTTATTTTAGCCAACTGTATTTGAATATTTCTGCATACTGGGTCCCTAAACAGTCTTGGAATTGCATATATTGGATGTGACTGGAAAACTGAGACTATTGTGGATTCAGTTAGCCCAATTTTATTCATGTGTGACAATGTTAGTCCCCATAGTAGTCCCCATAGTATTTCATTGTAGTGAGACCATTTTTGAAACTTGACCTCATTGTATAAAATGACCTATTGTTACCTGTAGGATAATCACAGCCTCATGAAGAACTAAAGACCTTGGGCATTCAGACGATGTATGGCTTTCAGAGGTATATTGACACTAAGGTAGCCTGGAAATCCAGACCCAAATCTAGAAAGATTTAGGGTCTGGCCATGAGTAATGAAAATGGCCCAGCTCCAGGGGTGGCACCAAGCATGCATTTGTAAATACCACTGCATGCAATTGGATAACATTACGACAAAATCAGAACAATACACGGGGTGACGTATCCAGAGCGCTACCAGTGGAGCTAACTGATAGATTAGACTCTTGCTGTATCCGGTCGGCAAAACAGCAAAAACGTCCTTCTTGCAAAGGAAAGATTCGAGCGCCGACTTCTGTTCCTCTTTTAGAGAAAAAGCCAAGTCTAACTCGTTCATTGTAGCGGCCAAAGCTGTTTCAAACAACTGGTGTTCAGCCGTAGCCATCTTGCAACTGTCGTCATCTGTTTAGCTCGCCTCTGGCCTGCCTATATCAGATACATCGATGTGATTGGTGCAGCTCGGTTTCATGGGCATAGGTAATGAGCATCATTACTGATTGCCAGAGTGACTTGCTGAGCAAATTCAAATTGTGCTCTCGTGAGAACTCTGGATTTCCAGGGTAACACTAAGGTGGTCTCTCAGCAGTTTCCAGAACATAGGTGCTTGCCATCCAATTGCTAAATAATACAGTTCTTATATAACTCTCCAAATTTCAAAAGTTTTTCATACCGAATCACAGCATTGGTTTTCCTATGACGTTACTCAAGGTCTTGATGTCTTAATGTGGTATTTTGGAGGGATTTTTGACCATTTATATCAATGCTCAAGGGGTAAAATATGTTTAAATTTAGCACCAAATCTGTGTAACAAATGGTTTCAACCCAAAAACTGCTGCAACCACCTATGAGACATAATGGAGCATGGGAATGGCCATCATATACCTCCAATGTAATGTTTACGCCCCTAAACAGTCTAAACCTTCAGAATATGAAGAGGCGCCTTACCAAAACACAATGTATATTTCACATTTATGACCAAAAACTGACACACAGTGCTGAGCTGCATCTCAAATTAATCTTCAGACTCCCAGCTTTCATCTACCACTAAAGGTTCCCTGTCTCCCTTTGAAAAGAAAAAAATGGGTCTATGCTAGGTCTCAGAGGGTGAAAATAGTTCCCCATTGCAGACATTTTAGGATCATATAAAATGTCTAGTTACATACAACAGCTGGTGCAGATGTAAGGAGATAACATTTACAAAGGACTGGACTTTGATTGGCTTTAGGCCCGTTTCCACTGAAGAAGTTCCTGGTACTATTTGGGGGGCAGGAACTTTACAGGAACGTCCTCTCGCTCGGCCCTCTCAACCACCGTGTCTCTACACAGAGGGGGCAGAGTAGGAGGAAGGTTCCTGTAAAGTTACCGGGCTCTGGATGTGACGTAATCGTTGCGCGACGATTTGTCTTCCATTTCTTGTTTTTCTTCTTACGACTTCTTTTAAAAATGCGACTCCTTGTCTGCTGAGTTTTAAAAATGCCGACTATTTTGTCGCTTTCTGTTGACGTCACATCCCGCCTTGAGTAAGCCAAGTAAGCCAAGCCCCACCCAGGAGTATTTCGGGGCCGTTCTGAGTACCTACTCCGAGGCAGGGACTTGTTTAGCCCCTGTAAAAGCTCCGGAACTCTGTCCTTCGGGGGTGGTTCCTGTGGTGGAGACACGCACCAACAGCCCTGGCCCTGTAAAATTACCCCGAAGTTCCTGCAGTGGAAACAGGCCTTTCGTTACTAACTAATTGAAATGTGTCACTTCCAGTTCTTATACTGGTCTTTCAGATTTGTTTGTTCCATATTGTGATAGCAATTTTTTTTTATCCCCCTTCAGAAAGAAAATGAACCTTCTAATGAACAGAAGGGCAGATGGCACTCTGAGTCCAAAGGGCCCAAACAAGACTCTTCACCCACAAAAGTGGCCACCTTTGGCTTCTCTGCCGAGGTCACCAGCAATCTGTCGGATCCAGGCCATCTCACAGGAAAGAGACCTCACACTATCAAACTGGAGTCTGTTTCCATAGCTCAGGAGGATTTTTGTCTATCAGCCTCATCTACAAAGAGAACATTTTCTGATGTTGAGAAAAGCCCTGAGCTCCTGGACAACCAAGCGAAGAGGAGTAATGCGGCCTATAAGAGATGCTACGAGATTCCAGAAGAGGCTGCGAGGTTTCACACTGGCCTGACTGGAACATTTTCCACCATTCAAATAGGTGCCTTCATGGCCTCCACTGAGGGGATTGGGTCAGCTAAAGACCGGATCCCAAAGCGCTCCAGTCCCATCGCTGTGGCCAAAAGTCTGTTTAGTGAACTGGAGGAGCCAACAGAGGACGTGTTTGAAGACGGAGCCAAAGACCTGTCACATACAAGTTTCACATCACCACTCACTGGGAACAGTGACGTTTGCAGGAGCCTGAGCCTCGACTCTGACGGGTCTATGCATGAAACGTCTCCCACTATTGACAGCCGTGCACTTCTCAAGCCGAGCAAGTGTTTCATAAACAGGAATTCAGTGTCATCTATGGAGCAAGAGGAAAAAAAAGATTCATCCATCACTGAATCACTCCCACAGACTCCATCTGCTGTCACTACTGAAACACCCAAACTTGGTAACCTTTCTCAGAGAGGATCTCAGTGCTCCTTCCTTAACAGGCTCCCTGATCTGGCTGGTGGTGTTGCACAATCCCCCTCATTCCTCAAGCCACGAAATGTAGTTGCTTTCCGTAGCTACTGTAGCTCCATTAACCGCTCCAACATGTCAGGGGTGTCCCGATTTAGCGTTGGTTCTGTTGAGGCTATGGAGTTGTCCGCCACCGGTTCTTATCACACAGCATCTGGCAGTGCAACACCAGTGCAGAAAAGACCCAGCTCCAACAGCTCACTCAATCAGGTAAGAAAGGTGCCGCACTGCCTGTTTTTTTTTTTTTGATTGAATGCCTTTTTATTGTTGCTAGGCAACCACTGACTCACCTCCTTACCCTAACCTTCCCACGTAATCAAACTACTTTATCTACTTTGTTTATTTTATGTTATTTATTTGACAGTAATTAGTAGCTAGCTCCTAAAATGGACAGGCAGAGGCTACTTGCTGTAGGTCTGGTTGAGGGCGAGAGGCTGTCAGCGAGTAGTTTGTTGGGCACAGGGAAACAGATCTTTGTGGGTATATGAGACCCTAAAAAAGAGGGTGAATCACGGGGAGTACCACCAGTTGGTCCAGGAGCTTCGCCTCCATGATGGCTGCTTCCTGGCATATTTTAGGATGACTCCAGGGCAGTTTGACAACCTGCTGTCTATTGTTGGTCTGTATATCTCTGGGTATCCAGCAACTGCGACCACACATTTCTCCTCCGTTGTTTACCAACTTCAAATTTGTTGTCATGACCACCACAGAGGACCCACCGCCTTTAAAATCAGAAGTGCCAGGCGCAAGTGCAGAAACGTGAGGTGCGTCGCAACACAAACGCCTTCAGCTGCTGAAATGCTTTCTGTGTGATCAGGGCTTAGTCATTATGTCCACATTACTGATGATTGTTAATCAAAAATCATGTAGATATTTAAGCAATATCACACGAGAGGGAGTGATGTTGTACTGTGATATCGTCACGGCTGTGATTCGGTCGTAGGCACGAGGCCGCAGCTATGTAACGCAGACATGGTGCGCCAGGCACTTACTCTTTATACACATTTATCTGCACGTTTCCATTAATTGTGCAGCCGGTGAAATAAGTTTCTGGTGACTGCATGGTGGCCTTTCGCTTCACAGGCACAGCCGACTCTGCCTTCTGATCTGACAGTATGTTGCTTTTCTCCAAGTCATTGAGCTCCGCTGATGAAACACTGACAAACCTGGATGTGTGCTCAGATGGATTCAGCTTCTCCTCTCCCTCATCTTCCTCTGATGACCATTCATAGTTCAATTCAAAACTTATTTTAGGAAATAAATCCATATTTTTGGCTGTTTGACAGTGGATGAATTAATTAGCCTACAACGCAACTGCTGACCTAACTGACACTAACTGTCAGTTTTGATTTGATTGTTGATTGCAATCAGCTGTGAGGCGGAGTGATACATACACAGTGAAATAACCGTGATGTTGTACTCCAATATCGTCACGGTTTTACTGTCTCTCGACCAATCAGATTGCAGGGCCGGAACTAACTGTTGTATAATATATGATACTGTAGGGTTGACTATTGATGCTTTCACAAATTATCGAGGTACTTGGTCAAAAATATTGTGATATTTAATTTTCTCAGATGAATGACACATATAAAGTACAAATAAAGTAGTCTACTGGTATCTATATCTCTTTAAGGGTACTGGTGTTGTAGTTTTTTAAACCAATGGTTCCCAACTAGTGGGCCGTGGTCCAATGCTGAGTGGACTAGAAGTGACTTGCAAACATAAAAACACACTTTATTTTTAAGTACAGTGAATTTACGGCATAGAACTTTTATTTTGAAGTTCCGTTTCTTGGTGTAGAGTGAGTGACTACAGACACACAAGCATGACAGTAAATCTATCAAACTGTGTGGACCTTGAACTGTCGACGAAGCAGAGATCTGGACCTTGTGGCTGGACCACTTGGGAACTACTGTTTTAAACCATACCCATGCCCCAATTGGATTATATGCTTATCACATTTCCTTTTATTTCCATCTCACATCAGACTCCTCAGCCCATGTCGACCTCTCACACCCCCTTCAGGACCCCAAAGAGTGTCAGAAGGGGTGCACTGCCTGTTGAAGGTGCACCCATTTTAGGAACTCCTGACTATTTGGCTCCAGAGCTTCTCTTGGGAAAACCACATGGTAAGATAAGAAAATGATAAATTCCAAGTACCACAACAACCCAAAAATAGCCCAACTGAGCCTGATAGTATTGACTTTGGATGGTTGACATTGTAGTATTTGTGACAGGCATTCTCTTTGAGTTTCAGGATGTTTACAGTGTGGTAAGTTTATAATGATATTGCTGTTTGTGCAAACGAGCTTGCATGTTCACCCAGCCTGCTAATACGCTAGAGGAAATGAGCTGATTCTTTCCCCATTTCCTTTCCCCACTGGTTCTGTTTCTGCCCCTTGGATTGGTGAACAAGCTGTGGGCCTGATCAGAGGGACGGGGGCAGCATTTTATGTGTGATTACAAAGGCTAAGATAACATTAAGCTAACACCATTGTTAACAGTTGGGGAGTCAGGCTGATGTGCTTTTAACTGGACAAAGGGGTTTGTCTGCTCTTAAAATGTGTAGGTTTGGGGTCATTGTGGCACAAAGTGAATGTGCTGTGGCACTGGCTTTACTTTTGACATTTAGCAACTGACATGCAAAATGTCATCTAATAATAACCTATTGATCTGACATGCTGTCATTCATTAAAATATTTCCTGTCAGTTGCACCATGCCATTTTGTAGCTGCTATTTGAATTCATGGACAGTCAGGCTGTGACATGAATGATCCTGTGTGCCAGTGTTTATTCATCAGCTGTCGAGCATTTTTCTGAACTCAACATCAGATGATTGTGACAATTGTAATTTTGAATCTAGAAAAATAACTTAAAACTACAATGCTAGACCCAAATGTCAAGGTTTATGTGTGACATGTGATTGATAATACAGAAAATTCAGGCTACTTGTGGGTGAATGAAAGAAACTGAGTTTTTACCCATAACCCAATCCCTCTATCCTCAACCTAACTTAGTCCCTGCTTCTGCCACCGCAGTACAGTTAGTGCACACTCTAACAGGAATCACAGTGGAAATTGGTGTTTGAAGCCAGCAGCTGTGTGACTTGACCTTTCTGCTTCTATCCAGACTTCATGGTGGATTGGTGGGCGCTAGGTGTGTGTCTTTTCGAGTTCCTCACAGGTGTGCCACCTTTCAACGATGAGACACCTCAACTGGTCTTCCAGAATATTCTCAACAGAGGTGGGTGTGTTTATCTTTCACAGGAGCAATCATACCTAAATCACAAAATGCTTTAATTGACACACAGCTTGTATTTGATGATCAGCATGCCAAAAAAAAAGACATATTACAGTTTTCGTTGAACAAAATTGATTATGTTAATGACATGTTTTTGTTGCTTCCTTTACTACCTCACTGTCAATTTGTTTATAGATATTCCCTGGCCTGAGGATGAGGAGGAACTGTCTGTAAACTCAAGAAATGCGATTGAAATCCTCCTGACCATGGACATGACAAAACGAGCTGGTCTTAAAGGTTAGGACCACTTTCCAATTTTTAATTTTCAACATTGAAAGCTGCGGTGGACAGAAATCTGAAACAGGCAAAATATACACCCTCCTCCTGCAGCCCTCCCCACTCTTTCCTAAGCCCCACCTACCAGATGACCTTGCGCTCCATAACCAGTGTTTCCCATACACTGATTTATTTAATTTCATTGTAGAGCTGCTTGCAGGGCATTCACTCAGCACCGTTTCTGTTGATCAGACCACAAATGAGACAAGAACAACCGAGCTCGCCACCCTATGATCCCTTCGCCTCATTTCCGTGCTGCTGTGGACTGCTTCCTCGGGAGGAGAGCGGGCCACAGCTCGGAGACGGACCTTTAGTCTGTGGCTGCACCAGCTTTAAATTCCGCCAGTGCAAAGCCCCAGCATAGGGTTTGGCAGCACCTGTGTAATGGCAGCAACAGAAAGTTTGCTGATCTGGTGAGGAGTCGGGGCTGTTCAGTTTCCCGGACCTGGAGTTTGCGCTGGCTGGGTTTGGATTGCTGCGGTTGAGGTGGTCTATATCAGTGAGGAGTGAGGCAGAGGACACACTGTGAGTCGAAGCTCTAGCTAACATTAGCTACATAAGTCACAGCCATTATTTTGTTCGGTCAGACTCTCTTTTAGACTCTAAGTCCGTCTTCTTTTTGGGTTGCTTTGCAGTGTAGGCAGTTGCTGTCAATACTGAAATAGCAACTCTTTCTGGAGGATTCTCTGCAGTTGAAACAGGCTTTCACCAAAGGGACGTGCATGTGCTCCTACTTTAGTAGAACAGCCAATAGGAATACCCTCTCTAAAATGACCTGTGATTGGCCAAAGTCTCCTGTCACAGGCTAGATTTTCTAAAGCCTCAAAAAACAGAGCCAAGAGGAGGAGCAGTCTAGTTGCAGGTCTAGTTTTCTCCCAGACCACTTGAATTAAGATATGCTCAAAGTTTATGATGGGATTTTTGCCAAATGATGCCAAAATAAACCTGCCTAACACAGCTTTAAAACACTGTTGTTCCTGAGACCTTCATGAAATTCATGAATTCCACCTGACATAAATATCAAGATCTCCGCTGTTGGGAGTTTTTTTCTTTTCAAGTTGTATATTAGAACTTTGCTCAAACTTCTGTGGTTAAAAATGCTAAGGATTAAACCTTTGTAAGTAACAGGGATTTATCTCATAAAAAATACTAATATAGGCTCTAGTTTCAACATCTGTTGTGTGTAAATCTAATGTGTTCTGATTATTTTTATTTGGACATCTACCAGAGCTCAAGTGTCACCCTCTGTTTGAGGGCTTGGACTGGGACAACCTGCAGAACCAGCCGATGCCTTTCATCCCTCAGCCAGAGGATGAAACCGACACCTCGTACTTTGATGCAAGAAACAACGCTCAGAATATCGCCGTGTCTGGCTTCAGTCTGTAGAGTTACAGTCATAACAGTTAAGTTTTAGCAAAGCAGCCTGTCAGTACATTTTGGCTTTTAATGAGGCATGTGTGCTTTCATTGTAGAAAAACTCTGAATCCATTGTACAAATGAATATACATGGTAATGATGGGGATTCTGGTTGTTTCTCTGTTCAAGGTTGTATATTTTTAAAAAACATTTTACCTTTGTGCAATCACTGGTCAGAAGAGTCAGAAGAAAGTTGAATCTGTTGACTGCTTAACTTGTTACATTTTTAAAACTTAGTGTTGCCATATTACATAGTATTAGATCCTTATACTAGCAAAATCATATTTGCTACTGCTTTACCTTATGATAGGCTTTGATTTCTGGTATACTGATTAAATGTTGATAACTTTGCATGAGAATGTGGCTCTTACTGCCTGATGTTAACTCTCCATGCTGATGCACTCCATTTGTTGCTGTACTGTTCATCACTGTAATGTTCCCCTGCTCTGGGCAGACTGGGTGGGCAGGCCCCCTAAATGATTAGCTCTTTGATGGGTGCAGTACTGAAGAAAAACAAGCTAATATATTCATCAATAATGTGTTTCATATGTAAATCTTGTTAATAACATTCAGTGTCATGTTGTGAACAGTTTTTGCTGCTTTTATGTCATTTGTGTTTGTAATTTTGATGTGATCTCCTGTCCATTTCCTACACTACTAGTTATGTTTTAGATAGGTTCACTAGGTTCCCAAGTACTCGTAAAATTTTATGTTGTTCATTCTGAGAAAAAAGTAAAATACAAATAAAATCGTGTTTGTAACATGATGTTCTTTGTGCCTTTTCTGCTGAATGAAAAAACATCACTGACTACATTTGGATAAAATGTAAATTTAAATGGTGCATGTTTAAAGGACAATTTGTTAAATTATTTGTCTGTCAGATAAAAAAGGTGCCTGCAAGTCCTTAAAAGGTCTTAAGATGTCTTTAATCAAGCTTTAGAAACAGCAGGCCTTAAAGGTCATTACATTAAATTTGCAAAACCTAACCAATGTTTGTGTAAAACATTTGGTCCGATTTCATTTATCAATCTTTAAATTTCTTTTTTTTTTTTTTCTTAAAATGAGTCAAGCTCTTCTGCGTGAAAGTCCACATCTTTAATGTTACAAATCTTTAAACCTACCACTTAACATAATACTTTTTACTGTATACTTACACTACATGTCAGCAAAATGTAGTTTGACCTAACACGCTTTATAATCATATTCCTACATAAAACATAGCTCTGCACGGGATCACATATACAGCAAGTTACTAACTTTTATTCTTACCTGCAATGCTTGAATAATAAAAAGATGATTTGTCCAGTATTGTCAGTATCAATTTCCTCACAAAATATCTTTAAAAGTTCTTAAAAAGCATTCAACCAAGCATTGGTTAGCTAGCTAGCTTAGCACAAAGACTGAAAACAGCTATTCTGGCTCTGTCCAAAGCAGGTCTATATTGTGTGTTCTTTTTTATTCATATAAACACTGAAGTGTAAAACGTTGTAGTTTTATAGGAGATACTATTTGTTGGCATAGTCATGCAGATTTTGATACCTTATAATTAAGCCAGGCTAGCTGTTTCCTTCTGTTTCCATCTTGTGCTGAGCTAACTGTCTGCTACCTGTATGATACGTCCAGCATTTCCGTGCCTTTTTAAAGCATCAAATTCAAAGACTTTTCAGGGACTTTCCCCACCTTATTCCCTTCAATTATAGGACCTAACATGGCATTACTTCAGTCACTCAAACAAGCACTTAAATGTCACATTTTCTCGACGTAGTGGTGCTTTAAAAAATGACGTGAGACTTGGGAGACAAACATGTAGACAGCAGAAGTAGTAGTAATAGAAAAATGCAGCATGCAGTGAGCTCCCATGCAATGTCTATGAAAAGCTGCCACTCTGGGCTGCAGCCAAGTGCTGCTAAAGTAAAAGCTGGGGGTAGTTCAACTTAACCTAAGCAACATTAAGTTTTAAAAAAAAGAACCTCAAGTAATATTCTTGCACAAAAAAAATATAAATTTAAGTATTTTCAATCACCAATGTCATGTCTGAAGCTTTCACAGCCTTTAATTTTCCCCCTCAAATTCACAAACTTTCAAGGATTTCAAGGACCCCTGGAAACCCTGACATCTTTACCGTACAAACATGAAAGCATTTCCAATCTCATCTAACTCTGAGACAACAGCATAAACATATTTCCCAAAATGTCAAACGGTGTCTTTGAAGTAATGTGGACAAATGAAAATGCTTTATGAAAACTTTATTTGAGGCTTGGATTATCACATGCAGACACCACTCTATCCACAGGCAGAGAGGGTGAGAAAGCCTTAGTACATTTCAGTAGAAAGGTAAACTATTACTTTTTTTATTAAAACATAATGGCTCTGGAAAGATTAGTGCTATTGCAGATGCACACCTTTGTAAATGATATAGTATTCTATATTAATAAAACATGGGAATGCAATTAAAATACTGCATTTTCATCTGAACTGTACAGCTATTTGTTTACAATTTACATAGGTCACACTGCTTTGCAAACAATTAATGATTACTGTCACTCACACAAAATCTTTCCACAATTATTTGTACAAACATATTACATCACACATTAAAATGATACAATATAGAAAAACGTGACAGCGTAAACAACACAGACAGCGACAAGTGTTATGCATTAATCATCAGCTGAGTGGACGATGAGGTTGTCAGAGATTCTCACCACCTTATGGCTCACTGGGTAGTTATGATTCATGTTCATTTGGTCCAGCACTGGAACAGTTATGCTACAATGTGTGAATGTAAGAAATCATAACACCGCCTACAGTATGAGTGTACCTTATGATGTTGAGGCACTTCTTCTATTTGGAAAACAATTTAAAGTGGAGTCCACTTTGACATAAAGCACAGACTGATATGCAGCAGGACAGGTAACCTAACGCTAACCTTGTCTAACCTATACAAAGCTATACGGAAGCGTTATATGTTCATTCACTTGAGGAAAAAATCTACTGTGTTTTTCTAAATTAGATTATTATCTCTGATTTTAAAAAAAGACTTTACGAGATGATCTTGTTAATTCGGAAAAATGAAAATTTACGAGATAATTTTGTTGATCCAAAAAAAAAAAATAATAAAAAAAATTACCTCTTTATCTTGTTAATTTATAGACACAAGAATTTATGGCTATATCTCATTAATTCAGAGAAACCTGAACTTACAACATGAGCTTGTTAATTTAGAAAAACAAGAATTTACGACATTATGTTGTAATTTTGCGGCAATATTTCTTTCATTCAGAGAAATTTGAACTATGTGTCATGAATTTAGGAAAACAAGAATTTGACATGGTCTCGTTAATTTGGAAAAACAAGAACGAGAATTAACAACTTTATCCCAATAATTTAGGAATGTTGTTAATTACGACATTAAGTTGTAAATTCAGAAAAAGGACGATTTGATGAAGTATCTTGTTCACTCAGAAAAAATTGAAATTACCTGACCTCGTTTATTTAGAAAAACAAGAATTTTCAACATGGTATCCTTAATTCAGAAAAACAAGAGTTGACGTAATTATCTCATTAATTCTGAGAAATGAGACTTTGACACAATCTTGTGAATTCAGTAAAAACGAAAATTTACGACATTACCTTATTTCAATAAAACAAGTTGATGTCATTGTCTCGTTAATTCGGAAAAATGAGAAATTATGACATAATCTTGTTCATTCAGGAAAAATGAGAATTTATGAAATTACCTGGATGTTTCAGAAAAATGACAATCTACGACATTATCTCGTTAATTAATGAAAAGAACGTAATTTTTTTGTTGTAAAACTTTTCTCAAAATTATAATAATAATAATAATATCGTCAATTCAGAGAAACAGGGCAAATATATATTTATCTATCTCTCCACTTTCTTTTCTCTCAAGTGAATGCTTTACGCTTCCATAAACAACATTTAGTGGTCACTTTAAACATAAACCTCATTCACACAGCTGCAATCTGGCCAACAATGCCTTCATTATAACTTGCTAAAAGCAATAAATATTAACTTATTCTCAGAATTTAAAAGAATTACTCACATCAATATATAATTACATTCAATCCTCCCGCCTAAACTACAGTTATTACAACATCTTATTATAGCAGCATTGCCTGGGCGTCTAATGAAAGTGAATTGTGACAATTTATAACCACATCAAGCATTTACTCAAACTAAAGTATCAGGCCCATATGATGTGCAACACAGCCTTAGATATGGAAATAATCGGGAAGCTGCTGTAGTTGGTTTATAAACACGCTGACAACATCACAACTTTAGGTTCCCCCTCTCAACACAAACCTTTTGTTTACAGAAAAAAATATTCCAGTACAGTGGTATCATCTTGAAAAAGCTTGTATCATCACAGGCTCTAAGCCCATACATTCATGTTTCTATCTGATTTCACATCCACCTTACAACACGCTCGAGAGAAATCGTCCTCCCACCCATCACTCTAGGTGCCTTCTTTATAGTGCAAAAGCAAATTACTGGGCTGTGGGTCTAAGCAGGGGGGAGTTACAGCCATTAGCAACCTGACCAGACATTTAGAGGACTCCTCATTATCGTCTATGCCCATGGGTGTTTGGGTGAGAGCAGATTCAGTTGGTCCGTCTATTAAAGAAGGAGAAATGTAATGAGTTACACTGCGTAATGCAAGACATGGTAGAAGATTGCAATTTTAAGGGAATACTTTATCCCCCAAATTATCAATTGTTTATCAATTACTCTGTGTAATGCTGAACTCATGAAAAAACTTTTTCTCACATGCCTCAACAGTGAACAAGGAATCCAAAAATCAATTCAATTGATGAATTAAAGTTATAGGGGTCCATGTTTAACACTAGCAAAACTATATACTCTCACAACTCATACAGTATAGTCCAAGTCTCATTATCCAGTCGTAATCTCAGTACTTTCCACACAGACAGGGAACGAAGCTGAAAGTGAAACTTACCTATGCGCTCTTCAAAGCCAGACTCCATTGTCATTTTACCTCATTGAACAGGGAAGCTGCTGGTCTACCGCTGTCTTGATGGGTAGTTTGTTTGTGTTATTGTTCGACTTTGGTGAATCTAAACTAACCTTTTAAAACACTTAAGTTATACAATTACACAAACAAATTATCTGATTGAGGCAGTGGTAGACCAGCAGCTCCAGTGTTCAGCGAAGTATAATTACCATTTTTGTTAAAGTTACAATGTGTAATTTACGTGGTTGTTTATTAGCAAATATCAACTATTGCTTTCATAAATATATATTTACTAAAGTGTAATGCAATTCACATACAAATGGAAGCTTTCTCATAGGCTTAGAATGATTTCTTTATATATACACACAGGCAGGGTGCGGTCTGCTGGAGGCTGCCTTCTTGCGTCGCCATATTTGAATACAGTGGCCAAAAGGGATATACGCGCTTCGCCTTTTGCGTTTACCTAGAACTTGCCGTCACTGGAGACGGTTAAGGTGAAGATCAATCCGGGGCGCTTCTGCGTGAACCTGCTTTGTACTGTTATGATTCTGTCGCACTTTAAATGGAGGAGCACACATATGTTTTGTCCCACAAGAGGGAAACCACGCCACCAAATAAAAGAAAAAGATCAGATAAGCGAGCACGGGACAAAACGTGAGTGAATATCAGCGTTGCTTATTCCAGGTGGAAAGAACTCCTGAAGGAGAAGGATTTCACAAGGGATGTGGAGGTTGCCTGCTTTCTGCTAGACAGGTAATTCAATCTGATATTTTAAAATCATTTTGGATTCATGTTTGCAACTACTTTTCCCTCTCGTCTAAGTTCGAGTGACGGCTACATTTACGTGCTAATGTTATCCTAGCCTTGGCTAACGTTATCCCAGAGCTACAGCTAAATGGTTAGCCTAGCCTACAGCCTAATCTGTTGATTCCTCTCGTGCTGCTGCGAAGGCTGCCACCCTCTCCTCCTCCTCTTCCCTCTGGGTAGCCGAGACACACCTCTTCGCCTGGCCATTCCTGCACCGCTTCTACCCCCACGCCCCCCCCATGGTTTAGATTCCTAAATAAATATTCACCTCGTCGCTAGATACTCCTGAAAAACTCAAAAAACTCTGCTGTCTGCGCAAGGCTTTTTGTCCTACGAGGCCACCGTCACTTACCCGATGGGAGGGGTGAGTGAGTGCTGCAATCTAGAATTTGACCGCTGATGTCACTGTTGCTCACCATTTTTACACACTGAGGCTTTAATGGAGTTTGGCTTTGAAAAGACATTAGTTCCCAGTCAGAAAGGGCTGTCTGTTTGGGCAGTATTGAGCATACGACTGGATAAATGAGACTTGGATTATACTGCAGAGTTGTGTGAGAGTTTGTAAACAGATGTTTTAATATAGTTTTGCTGTTGTTAAACATGGACCCCTATAACTTAAATCCATCAAGAATTTTCACCTTCATTCTTCATTCCCTTGAGGGAGGAAGTTTTCTTCACAAATTCAACGTAAAACTGGGTGAGCAGCTGATATGCAAGTGGTCATTTGGGGGGTGAAGTATTCCTTTAAATTTCAGTAAAAGAATACCTTCTCCTCCTCTGCATATACAGGTGAATAAGCCACTGAACCACAAATGGCCATACAACAGCAAAGGCCAAACTGGTCGGAGAGATGTCGAAAGGCCACCAGGATGGTTTCTGGGGGGAAACATATGAAGAATACATAACAATTAGCATTATTGTGAATTTACGTGGTTTGACAAAGTAATTCAGCTGGTGTAGGATATAAAAAGGAAGTTTTCTTTCTTAATTAGTCAAAGAATAAAAAGTGATTTTAAACAGTTTACCTGACTCCTCTTATTCACTGGAGGTGATGCATAAGTTGGAGACAGAGACACTGATCTTGCCTGCAGAGACATAAAAAAAATCTTTATACTTTTTGTCAAAGGAAAAGGTAGACACCGCTCAAGTATGAATGTTTCAGGTATTATCTGTCAACAGTGTTGTTGACAGTACCAAAGTACAGACCCCTTATCTTCTGTCCGAGTTGATTTTTACTCCGTGTACTCTGACACTTCATGTCATAGACATTTTTATATGCATGATTTTATTAATGTCATATTGATTCAATTAAAAGATTGCGATTGATTGACATTTTATAATTACTGAAGCTGCTCCTCAGTGGTTTCAAACTGCCTGTTTACATCTGGGAGATACTATTTTAGATGGGAATATAACTCCTTAATTTATGGAAATATTATTAGAATGGATCTAGATTTTTGGCAGGTTTACTAAATATTAGTGTGCTATACATGTCATTTTAGAATATTGCCCTCTTCCTTTATTTGCTGTTTTAACACAGAAAGTAGTCTCAAATAGTTGTTTAAGCATTTGACATATTTATATTGCTTATCTTGTTCGACAACAATCCAAAGGAAATTTAATTTCCTATTGTAAACAATATTCGTATTTGAGAAGGTGGAACAAAATGTGGTGTTTTTGGGGCCGATATTTTACATTAATGAATAAGAGGGCAGACTTGTCTGACTCGTCTGACCTGGCTTGCAGTCAGAGCCTCCAGAGTGTGCAGCCTCTCCAGAACGCTCTGCATGTCCTCTTGAAGTCTCGTCAACGCCACAACTATCTGCTCATTCAGGCTCCCCCCAGGTGTTGTTGATCCTCCCCAGCGGCCCCCGTCCCCATCTCTACCACTGTACGTAGGCATCAGAGATCCAGAGCCGTGGCCTGGAGACCTGGAGCCTAAAAATGATTCATAATTAATACATTCAGTAGCTCTCTTCAGAAGACTGCAAAACACAGTCAAACCAAAGTACTGACGCCCTATGAGGACGACCTTACCTCTTCCTCTTCTGACCAAAGAGCTGTTCGGCATGTTTACATTCAGTCTCTGTCTCTGTGACACTGTTCCACCGTTCTCTCCATCCTCTCCCCCATGCCTGACGCCCTGCGCTGCACCGTGAACGTCTTCCTGGAGCTCCTGTGTTGCCTGTGGCTCCTCTAGAGGTGGAAGAACATGGTTCTCCTCTTCTTCCAGGTCGTCCAAAGAGCGGTTATGCTCTGAACTCTGGAGAAGATGCACATTAAAAATTAATCAATGACGGAACCAGAGCTACCACCACTGCACTGCACAAGTGGTTTTCAGTTGTTACTTGCCTCTTCCTGGCCGAACTGGTCCACAGAATCACAGTAGACTTCGCTGTCTGAGTCACTGGCCAGGTGGCTGGGACCAGTCACGTCTGCACTGGGATCTGAGATCAGCACAGAGGGCACAAATAGGGAGGAAAAAAGCTCAGCACTTTAATGCATTGTAAACTGCACCGTCATTAACAGAGAGACATGGAGGAAAGGCAGTGTTTACTCAATTTGGGGGCTTTGTGTGCCATTTCAGGGGAGCCATTAGTTTAGTCCATTAAAACTGTCCCAGGAGCAGCTGACATGTAAAGTGTTAAGATTCAGTGTATCTGCTGAGTTGCCACAGCTCTGGGAATGAAGCTTAGCAGATTATCTGATCACATGGTTCGCTGATACACCAGCACGGGCAGTCACAGGCAGCGGGTGAGGTGAGTACAGAGTCCTCAGTAACAGAACAGGACATTTACTAATGCCAGATTTTAAGACAGAGTGAAATGAAAAGTACATTTTCCCAGTTTTAATGCTGCTTTAATTAATAATGTATCTCTTGTTGGATGCCAAATATATGCCAAAAAATCTGTATCAGAGTATTTTTAAATCAAAATCCCTGTCTTAAAATGTTTGATGACTTATGGCCTTTACACAACACTGTGGTTTTTTGTGCAATTAATACACACGTCAATATATTTTTTCAACACACAGAACGTGAATGTTACACAGTGAAAAAGCGGTGTAATATTTTTTTGGAGTTGATTTTTCAGAACTTTTGCAGCACAAATAAAGACATCAACCAATCATATTGCGCGGAACAGATGTCACATCACAGCGATGTCAGATCTTTTGACTGTCTGTGTTTCTCGGCACTCTGAATTTTATGAGAAAGGACAAAAATGATAAAGACAATGTGTGGAGCAGCATCTCCAAACAGCAACATGGAGGCTTGTGTAAACCAAGAATGCAAACTTTATTGCTTCTACCAATCTTGACAGACGCAGCCCATACCAGAACCAGTCACTTCCCTTTTACCTTTCACAATAAAAGCCCTAGACATAGACATTGTGTAACTGTTAACCAGAGGGAACTAAAATTCACTCAAAATTAATCTACTCTAATCTTTTATTAAAGAAGTGTTGCGACTGTTGCAAATTCACATCTCTGTCAGTTTTGATGCAAAATATTCGCAGGTGAGTGTTTTGCATTTTCATGTCATTAATTTGTCATGCCACCGGTGTCTAAAGGCCTTTATGCTGCACTCAGAGCCGTTTACAAGAGTACATCCAATCAAATGAGACCATTTGTGGGCTGTAGTAGCTAAAAGAGCAATATAGGGAGAGATAGGGAAATATGTGTGTTTCGATATCAATGGGCAAAATCTTTGTTTTCATTTCCAAAACAATACAGGTGAGGTCTAATACCTTCATCTGTTCCTCGTCCTCCTCCTGATCTAATACAAAATGTGGCAAAGCGTTTATTTAAATGGGAAACTGTAGAGCTGAACACCCTTTTGTGTTGTCCGAGCGAACTGTCTTTATACACACGTTGCTGCTGATTTGGGAACAGCTCCAACACACCTACCTGACGAGAGACCGAACATACCTCAAAGTACACTGCAAACCATTTTGAAGAAAACATGTTGTTCCACCTGGAGCTGAACAGTTCAGATTGAACGTGCTCCAGGTGTGGGAGGTGTGTGTAGAGCCAACAGTCCGCTGCAGCTCTGTACTGCACTATACTCTAAGCCCGCCCACTTTTTAGCGGTCCAATCAAATCCTAATAATTTTGTTTAAATCTTTCTTGTTGCTGTATACTGCATGAATATTCAGTTTGAATGGGAAATGTGTCACAGTACAGAAGGTGTTTCATTGGGACTTTAAACTAGAACAGGACGTGCCATCATGGACCTCTGTGTTCCTTACCTGTGTGGTGACCGTTAAGCACAGGCTCGCCAACTGACCCCTCCTGAGAGTTGTCACTGTTCAGAGCGGCCCTGGAATGACTCCCATTGGTCAGATGGATGACCCCGTTGGCCACTTTACCGTTTGAAAGCGGCACTTTGTGTCTCCTGGCTGAACTTTTCTTCTTTGGCTGTGATGCTGCTGATTTCTTATCTGAAATAAAACCCCAACAAACAAAATCACGTTCACTGAATGTTTTCTTCTTGCATTATTTTCTGATATAGTTTTTATAACTTTGTCACCTTTTATGACATTCCTTATCACTTCCTCTTCTTCTTCTTCTTCCTCCTCCTCTTCCTCATCCTCCTCGTCTTCATCTTCTTCCTCCTCTTGTATTTCTTCCTCTGACATTTCCTTCACTTCCTTTGATTTGAGCCTGGCAGGATGGGTCTCCAGAGTGCCGTTCATTTCCATGGTTCTGATGATGCTCTTTGTGACGCTCTTTGACGGCATTGAATTCAACATTGTGCCAAATCCTGAGCAACAAAAATGGATTTAATTCCAACACAGCAAATCCCAAAAGACAATGCTTCCTTTGAGGTAATCTTAAAGCGATACAGGGGGTTTTTCCAACCTGAACCCTATTTTCCCATGTTTTTGTGTCTAAGTGACGATTGTTTTTGGTCCAGTATTGAGAGAGAAGGCTGCAGCCTGTCGCAGACAACAGGCTAACATGTAACCACTCGGCACAGGTGCGCCCCTTCAACTTATGTCCATTAAATGTGCTTGTTTTTGCCACTGACAGGTTTAGAGTTTTTTATTAGTGTCTTACAACATTACAGAAAGGATAATATGGAAAAATTAAACATTTTCCCGTACCTTTCGCTTGCTCCGATCTGTTTGGTGTCTAAGTCTAGCTACCGAGAAGACTCATTCTGAAATCTCACAAGAGGTGACAGAAGAAAACAACAGAAACGCAAGTGACTGTTGAAGAGAGAAGTGCCAATAATAGTTTGTGTTAGAGTACAGAAAGCAAATCTTATTATAATCTAGAAGATTTTTAATGTCATGGCTGACAATTACGAAGATTTTAACAATGTAAAAAATGTATTTAATTTCAAAGCAAAACATCTCCTTTAACGAGACAGTTCGGAACATGCAATTGGGAAGGAAAAACATTTAATTTCTTTGTCGGGTCATTTCTGTAATGTTGTCAGACACTCAAAAGAATAACGTGAGCCAGTGAGTGGCAAAAACAAACACTTATATAATAATGAAAATTGTCGGCGTGAACACGCCCCGAATGGTTACACTGCAGCCTGTTTCACCGCTGCTGGCTGCAGCACTCTCTTGGAATACAGACCAATTTCAAAAATTCACTTAGACACAAAAACATGGGAAATTAGGGTTTGGTTTGAAAAATATCACAGTTCTCCTTTAATAATACTTTCCCTACTTTATAATTAAATCAAAATAATCTATTTACATGAGGTTGAGAGACACAATTTTAAAGTCAGTGCCAACTAAGCACACATTAAGTTTGGCATTACCTGTATCAAATGAAAGCATCTATTTCTGATGGCAAAGAATGTGCTAAGCTCCATGTTCTATAGCACTAACTGAGCATGCACGACACGACTGCTAATAACAACAAGCACCAAAAGCGTCTGATCTACAACACCAGACCAGCACTAAACTATACCACCAGACTCAGTCATATACTTGCCTTCCAGTTGCCTAGCAAACTGTGTCAAACGGGCTGAGCATATGACAAGAGGCAAATTATAAAAGGTTAAGCTCCACATGTTGTTTCTGACATCACAAACAAAGTGAGAGGTGAATCAAACCTACCTGTGCTCAGGTCTGATATCTGTGTGATCTTTTTCTTCTCGTCAATCAGCTCATAGAACGGGCCGAGGACGCGTAAAAGCTCCTCCACCTCGTCCGTCATGGGCATACCCTCCAGGATCTTTGCATCAAACACAGCAACAGATGCAATGTCAGTGACAGTCCATGAGTCCACAGTTTTGTCTATCAAATCACTTGTATTCTTATATAATAAAACTGTTAAATCGTCTGTAAAAGTAACATACCAGCTTCATTTCATCAACATACGCTGCCATCGCTTCTTCTTTTGACATATCTCCAAGAGAATTCCAAGCATCCCTGAATAAATAAGCAATAAATAAATAAACTGCATTATTACATCCTTTAATCAAGTAAAAAAAAGTAAAACATCTACATCCTAAAGACTGGTTTTGAACACTCGTGCCAGTTTTCAACTTTGTCAACAAGGCCACTTTATTGGAGGTCAATATGTCCTCCGTTAGCTGAGGGACAAAGGCCGACAGAAACCATTCAGCAGTAACTAGAGTTATTCCCTCACTAGGTGTTTTTACAATTTCCTGATGAACTTGCGAAACCCCACCCTGATGTAATGAGAGAAACAGCAGCTTAGTGGGTAAGAGGTTACATTCCAAGAGTCCACAGATCACCTAACACAACTGGAGACTAAAATGGGAGATGCCGTGGGTCACAAATACCCAGTGGAGTGCATGTGGCTCTGTCTTGTTTTGCACAGTAAGACTGAAGCGGCCCAGAAGCAACATGTTGTGCAACATGCACAAGTTAAACATTGTTTTTATTTCAGCCAACAGCAGCTTATCCAGATTAAATGTCATGATTTGCCTTGAAGACTGTGATATTCATATAACTTGTCTTCGTCAGCTTGACCATTACAGGAGAATCATTCTTGAAAATGAAAAACAGAAGAACCACAGAAAATACTGTAATTAAATACACTCCTACGTTCCCAACAAAGCATGTGAGAAACCTGAACGCATTGGGGCAAAAATAAAAACATAATGAATGACTGTGCATTTCTTTTTGTCTTTACCATTTTGCTTTGCCAACTGCATCCCAGAAGCCAGGTCGGGGTATATTGCACGGGCCCACAGTGGCTTGTTTATAGTAACTGTAGAACTTGAGCATCATGTCGTTGGATGGCTGAAAGGGACCTGAGGAAAATGGAGGACATTTTATACTGAAAATGTGCAAAACAAATGTTTAATAAGCACAATTCCTACATTCTTCCTATCTCTTACAAATCTGCAAAGTCTCTGAGACACAACAGACTTTAAGGGAGCAGTGTGCAGGATTTAGGGGGATATAGAGGCAGAAATGAAACATAAGTCTGTTTTCTTTTGTGTGTATTCACCTGAAAAAAAGAATCGTTGTGGTTTCATTACCTTTCATTTATATCTTTATAGGAAGCTGTGCAACATCCACGGAGATTGCAGAAACATATTGGACAAACCAAACACTAGCTCTGGATTGGGCCACTCATGTTTTCGCTTAGCTAACTGTAGTTAGCACCCTTCTGCGAAGAGAGTGCCAGTTTTTTAACATGAACCTGCTTTATTCAGTATTTTTAGTGGTTTAAATCACTGGGTCTGTTTGTTTTAGAGAGGACGAGACCTCTGTGGATAATTCAGCTCCTGGTAACAACCTCCTAAATGTCCAGATCTTAAGTTATCTGAGAAAAAAAGCCAACGATAAATTAGCAGGTACTAGGTAAGCAACCTGCCTCTGACATCCAAAACAGCATCAGAGAAACATTGATTTGTAATGTGAAACTTCTTTATTTAGTGTTTTCAGCAAACTGAATGCCTGATCTGTTTGTTTTGGAGAGGAGGAGATCTCTGCGGATAATTCAGCTCCCAGTAAAAACCTCCTGAACTTCTGGATCAAAATAAAGTGAGCACACACTTGCAGGTGCTGTGCTAGCAGGCCATCTGCAACCTGCTTTATTTTGTGCTTTTACTGGTTTTACTCACCAGACCTGTTTGTTTTGAAGAAGAAGAGACCTCTGATTTGGCTCCTAAAAAACCTACTTAATAATAATCAGTGAATAAATTATAACCAGCAGAAGTTTTAGCTGGTTGCAGTCTGCAGTCCTAGCTGCTGGAGGCCACTACATCCCCTAAATTACACACACTGGACCTTTAAAAAGTGACTGTTGTGATTTTTGCATGGAGTTGTTGACTGCAGGCTATGAGGTAAATCTCTGCACACTGTTAGTAAAGTGGATTATACCTTTTAAGTCGCACAACACCCAAAGCTGTGGCACTGCACCAACCTAGGTCTGACACCATTCTGCCTGTGCCCTTATGTTAAAGCCGTGAACTGGTTGAACTGGCCTAAATGATATGCATATAGACTGGTTTGCTCACTTACCATCCGGGGCTAAACTCTTGATGACTTTAACGGCAGCCTCAAACCTCAGCACTGTCAAACGCCTCTCATCTTCCACTTTGACACTCTCCACCTCCATTGTATCACACTGAGACAGTCAACACAAAACCTACAGACAGACAGTAAACAAACACACCACTGCAACATCACACGAGAACAAAAATATGCCAAAACGTCCACAATAGCATATATGCTAACTCTTGATACAACTCTGGCGTGTATATCCATACTTTTGCAATGCTAATGCGACTAGCTAAACTTGGCAGTTACTGTATTTACAGTATGTTGTGACCACCAGTAGGAGGCTGTTATGTATCTAGGACACATCGTCTGCTCTGCGACACACGTCTAACTGCCAACATATCTGTGCTAAATACAAAATAAACTCCCAAACTGTCGACGGAAAAGCCCGAAACCGATGATACTTACCGTTAAAGTCAACGGCCTATCTGTTTGTCAGACGGCGACCTGTCTTTAGCCTTCGACCAGACGCCATGAACAGTGTAATGAGGCTTGGCTGAGGTGTACTCTGGGAGTTGTGGTTTTCTACCGGATTTCGCTTTTGCCTACAATCCCCACAAATCCTCCTCGGCTACTGTAACGCTTTTGGTGGAAATGTTAATGAAAGCGGGTTTCAGTGAGAAACTAAAAAACTATTAATAAGTGAAAAATAAGAATGATATGGTAAAAAATATTTCGACGTAATCTTGAATAAATAGCATGAATCCCCACAGTTTAGAGTAAAACTACATTTACCATTATGCTCTACTCGGGATCCATGATTTTTTTTTTTTCTTCAGTTGGACGGATGATGATAGGTAGACGGGAACGAAAAGCAAGACCTCTCACTTTGTTTTTATTTTCGAGTACCACAAGTTGTAAGATATCCAGAGCTGAAATTAGTCGATTAATTTATTAGTCAATCGACATGATCTAAAATTGTAATTCATTATTACTATTATTATTATTATTAATAATAATAGTATTAATAATAATAACAACAACAACAATAATAATAATAACTGCTGTAGCGATTTACATTATGGATAAATGAAAGAATAAATGAATAAAAAATACAGATGGATAAATGTGTAAACAAATGAATATGTGAATAAATCAATTAATGTACAAATGCATACATCAATATACAGATGTGTAAGTATATACATAAATACGTATTTTTATACAGTCTATGATAAATACACAGACAAATTATATACATTTATATATTTAATGTCTCATTTAATTTGTGATTTATTCATTTATGGTGACAGTTAAGAATTTCACCAGATAATTATTTGTTTATTCATCTATTTAAGCATTTTATTATATAATCATATTTATATTTAAGTGTTAACTTATATTATTATTTAGTCATGAATATAAGCATTTTTTAAATATAATTATATATTTATTAAGTATGAACTGATAAATATGTATATATTCATCTATTTCAGCATTTTATTAATTTATTTACTTACTTATTTTCTTCTTTATCTGAGAATTAAATTATTTATTTATTTATTTATTTAAGCATTTTATTATATATTTATTTTATTTATATATATTTATTTTTAGTTATTTATTTACTGACTTACTTATTTATGTGAGCATTACATTATATAATTGTTTAATAATTTATTTCATAATTTCTAATTATTAATGTATTAATTTATATGAATGTTAAATTATATAATTATTTCTTTATTAATTTATTTCAGCATTTTATTATATAATTCTTTATTTTACATTCCATATAACACTTCTATTTTTATAATTGATATACATACTATGTTTATTATTCTACATTTTTAAAGTATTAACTTATATAATTATTTATGTATTAATATAAACATTTTAATATATAAATATATAACATATCAACTGATGTAAAAAAAAGTCTTTATTATTATTATTATTATTATTATTATTATTTGTTCATTATTTGTTTATTATTTGTTTATTTATTCACTTATTCGAGCATTTACTTCCATAATTATTTGTACATTATTAGTAGTTCCGGCCCAAACTGCAGCACAAACACTGGTCCCACTTTTAAAGCACCGAGCGACTGCTCTTCCCATTACAGACGATCTCCGGGTGGAGGTGACGCCAGACTGAGGGCAGGAATCCCACAATAGCAGGCGGAGAATTTTTTTTTCTTTTTTTTTCGAGGCAGAGCTGGGGCTGGTGGCTGTTTCAATCAAAGGGAAGGCAGAGGGAAGGGAGGCTCTGCGGAGAGATGTAAGATGGCAGAGCTACAAATGTTGTTAGAGGAAGAGATTCCGGCCGGTAAAAGAGCGCTTGTGGAGAGTTACCAAAACCTGACCAGAGTAGCGGACTACTGCGAAAACAATTATGTCCAGGTAAGTGAGTTAGCCTCCACGTTATGTTCAGCCTCCTTTTGTCGCGGAAAGCTCGGGATTGAGTCGGTTGTTGGGACAGGAAATGTGGATAAAGAAGCTGGACTCATCCGCCCAAAGCTTGGAGCTCTTCTAACACTTTGATGCCTTTATAACTATGGGACATTTAACTATCTTTTGTCTGCTCGGTTCTCCCTAATCACATTTATCCCGTTTACACAGAGGGTGTGTCTACTTTTTTTATTATTACACTGGCTCGGTCCAGAAACTGCTTCCACTCTCACTGCTGATACGGAGGCCTGTGTGTTTTACAGCACCAAGTTTTCCGCTATTTTATTTAATTTTAAAGACGCCAGCGGGAAACTTACTGCAGCTTGTTCGCTTTAAATGATGCTGACACTGCCTGGAAATGTATAACTACACTGGTGGGAAACTACATGTCATACTAACACTGCAAAGTCTACATGAATATTATAGCAACATAGCAGTCCATTACTTTCCATAAGGTCATTAAACTCACCATTTAATACCACAAAAGTCCCCATTCGGATACTACAGGGATATTACAGTGGAGAGCTGCATTATGGACTTGTAAGCGCTCAGTGCAAATGTTATGTCAGTGCATGGCGTTAATTGGTGCTGCATGATTATTTTAACCATTAAACAACACATAATGCCACGTTAAAGCATATTACATGCATGGAAAGCTTGACTTAATGGTGAGAAGAGCAGGGTTTGCAGGGTTGCAACTAGGCAGAGGGAGGAATGTAAAGCCATTGTTAGTTGGTCAATAAAGGTTGGAGGTATTGATTTTTCTCCTTCTCAACTTACTCACTCTAACAGGGCTTGCTTTAATCTGTGCTGGCCTGTATGAGGCTTCACATCTGTCCTGGAGTTCATGTTTAAAGTCCTTTTCATGATCAAGTAGCTAAGTTTTAAGCTCCTGCATTTGAGCTACAATAAAGTATATATATGTGTCTTAGCTTCATACCTTCACAGTGGTGTCACTGTGGCCACAGGAGGCTTTGTGTTTTCGATTTGAACACTAATATCTCAGTGGTAAGCCTCTTCTTAAAAACAGCCCCGAGAACAAACTGAGCGACAGACAAACAGTGGTTGGTGGGAAACATTTTTCAGCAGGAAGACAGCCCACCATATCAGCTTCAGAGGGTGTGTCCATTCCAGCTGTACTCCCCAAGGACTCCCTGTAATTTTGTTTTCTTCCGTGTCCTCCGATGATTTTGGCGTGGTGAGGCTCTGAAGCTCTGTGCCAGATATAACCCACACAAACACTACGGGACGAGAAGGTTGTCATCTTATATATGAGCCTTAAAATGAAGTGGATGAAGCTTCTTTTTCCCCCTGCTGCTTTTTCAAGTTTTGTGCACTTATTTATCATGATAGTTCAGGTCAATGACAGTATGTAATTATGTATAATTATATACAGTCTGTGGTTCAGATACAGTGAAATAAATAAATGTGGGCGTTTCCTTGTTATGGATTGTGTTTACACCACGAGATCGAGGCATTACAAAGTGATTTCCCACAGTGACACAGTATTCATAAAAGCAGAAACAATGGAATTTTGTTTACTTTTGTATAAATCAGCATGACAGCGTTTTGGAAGTTTTGAAGGAATGACTAGACTGTTACTGTTATTTAGCGATGGGTATTGAACCTGCATGCTGACAGAAATGTGTCTGTGTCAGGGGTTAGCGAAGCGTTGGTGTTAAATGTCAGGTCAGGTTTGTAGTTCTTTTTAGTCTTGATCTGAAGAAATTATGAAGCCTTTCTTTAGATACAGTTTGAGAACTTTAACTTATTTTGTCACATGGGAAAAAGTCTGCTATGGCTGCAAAGCCTGGGTACTGTATTGGCACTATTTTTTAAAATTTGAAATAATACTTAGTGTTTGTTTTTAAGGTCAATACTAAAATGTTGTGACATGTATTTGTCAATATTTTGTACTTATTTTTAGTGACATTTGACCAACCCCATTTTAATTTGTTTAGGGTTGGGTATTGAATCAAAAACTGTTGAGCTGGCATTGAATGCCACATCTGTATTTTGTAGTGTTGTCATGTTTACCCATTCTTGATCAATATCCCTCCTGAATTAATCATAATTTTACAATTTTGAGACAGTTTTACAAATGATATATTGACATTTTAGAAATTTGGCTTTTTTCTTGAATGAAAAAAGAAAGAAGAGAAATCCCACGTGGCATTGATATAGCTATGAAAACTGAGGTATTGTTTTGGCTAGGGTTGCAGCAGTGTGCTGACACTGTGTTATATCATGATATAAAATGGATGGTTATCATATCGTACTGTGTTTGCCGTTTGCAGTATTGAAAAAAAAATGCAGCTGCACTGAGTATCTCACCTCCTTGACTTCCTGCCAGACTTTTTTCTGAGGTGTTATTCCATCAAAATCTTGTGCCAATACTAGGGTATTGGCACATGGTTTTAAATTTATAACAATACTCAGCCCTAGATTTTAAGGCCAATACTGACTACTTAATTGTTCATTTCGGACCATATTTAGTCCAAAGCGACAAACAATAAGTGCATTTAAACTCAGTGGACTACATCCCTGCTAAATAAAGAACTAAAAGCGTATTTAGTTCCTGGAGTAGTTTTTTTTATGTAAGAAATTAGATGTAGGTAATTAAGGGTGGAGGAATATTGATTCTTAGATGCATTGGGAATCTCTCTTGAAAGAAAACCGTAATTTCTAAGCCCAGTTTTCGGCATTATGATTGCCTGTAACAAAGTTGTAAGACTGGGCTGTACGTTCCTTAGGCTGCACTATTCGGATGATGAAACATAACAGACATTAACATGTGCATTATATTTATGTTCAACTGCTACTGTAATAATGAAAGATAATGGAGGCAAGCTGACCAATGATTGTAATCATGCACACCTTCAGTTCCTTGTAGACAGGTGTGAAGGAGGTGTGCAAGAGAAGAGAAGTCCTGCACACTGTTCTTTTACTTTAAAATTAAAGGACAGTGTGGGAATTCTCTCTTCTTTTAATTATGAAGCATTAAAAATATGCTGTGTTTTAAACATAACAAATTGTCACACAGTAAGTTATGGATCAAAATCACAAATTTTGATGCAGCAAGATAATTTTATAATCCCATTGTAGCCCTCTGAATGGCATTGTGAGGTGCTTAGACATTCCAGACTCTACACGTAATGCTAACATTGAGTGTCAAAGCGTGGTCTGAAAAGAAAGTGTTTGCTCTCAGTAAACAGGAGACGCTCCAAAAATAGTATTTAGATCATCATGGGACCAAAGCTCTCCTCTGAGACCCAAACTAATGAGATGTAAACTGCAAAGGAAGTGCACAAAAAGTACTTCTTCAAATGTCGTTGGCATGAAGCTGTGGATAGAGGACAGTAGGCATGGATGTACACACACAGTATTTGTTCTGACTTTAACTATGAAAACTTGTGTTTCATGAGTCGAACCGATTTGGAGCATCTTATTTTAAAGCGCTGACGTTAAAAAAAAAAATCTGGAATTGAAGCTTTTCGGCGCATGTTGCGAGCTCTGTGTGAAGTGAGTGTCACACTAACTGTGCACTTTTCATAATTCCTCTCTGTCTGCCTCTGATAGAAACACACACACACACACACACACTCTGTGCACTCTGAACTGAACCAGCACATATCAACATGCCTCAGCTTGAATCGGCTCGTCCTGTTCGGCACTCCTCCTTCGCATTTCCATCCCTCCTTCTTCTCCTTCCTCCTCTCTGTCGCTGCTCTTGTCATGGAGGCGCTGAGAGTTCAGCGTGGACTCGGCAGACTGAAGCAGATGGTGAAAGCTGCGTTTAACCAAGGACAGATCACTGCCCTACTTTCTCAACTTGATGGTGACTTTTGTTGGTCCAAGGGAGTGTTTTGACGTGTGTGTGTGTGTGTGTGTGTGTGTGTGTGTGTGTGTGTGTGTGTGTGTGTGTGTGTGGCATATGACACACTGACGGGTCAGGGCTATGCTTCCTGTTTGCCCTGCTGACTCCAGAGACTTGACATCCCTAGAAATGCCTTCTCACTGTGTCAGGAAGTGGCTTATAATAGAGCCTTAGAAACCCACCCTTTCAAATGAAGACACATGTACACAGATTATTCTGATTAATGTGGGGGTTAGTGTTTTAATATGTTCCTGTATTTTCTAACTATATAAGGTTAAAAAACAATCCCTGGCGCCTCCTTGAAATGTTTTGCTCACTTTTTTTAATTGATGCGAGTCAGGTTGTTTAACCTCTGAGACAAGGACATGTGCACTGTATGCAAAGTGAGCCACCTGGCCATGCTGTCATGGCACACTGAGAGGGCTGCTTTGTTAAACGCAGTCATATAGTTCAGTTGTGCTCAAGCTGTATTTGATATTTCTGGAACTGAAAGAATTTGTTGATTGATAGAAAACTGATCTGAAACTGTTGTGACGATTATTTTTTCAATGGTTGCAGTTTTTCAAGTGTGACAGTGTACAGCTTTTCTTTGTCATATGATTGTTAATTGAATATCTTTGATTTGTACTGATGGTCCGACAAAACATGCATGTTGAAGATGTCGCCATGGGCTTGTTTTGTTTACATTTCATAGACAAAACTATTTATCGATTGAATAATCTGTGGATTAATCAATTGCTGTAGCTCTAGATGTTCCAGTCGTGGCACTGAGAAGCACAACCTCATTTAAAAATGTCTTGTAGCCAAAGCTCGGTCAGATTTGTAGTCCTTTTTTTAACATATTTACTCATTGACCAGGTATTGCTTGTTATGAATTATAATTTCGTTAACTTTGGGGCTGTTTATAATCTTTAATTTCCTTTCTAAATTAGTCTTCCATTTAATCAATTAGTATTGTAATCTATTAAAAGTCATTATACAGAAAAAATCTCTCACTGACAGCTTGATACCAAACACAGAAAAGCAGCAAACCTTGCATTATGAATATGGAACATTTTCAATGACTATGTTCACA